GTGTTCTCATTGGTAGGGGGTTTGGCTGTGTTCTGATTGGTTGGGGGGTTAGCCGTGTTCTGATTGGTTGGAGGCATGTTCTGTTCAGGTGGGGGCTTGGTTGTGCTCAGGTTAGTCTTAGTTGCTGGGGGATTTGAGCTGGGGGATTTTACAACCAAAGATCCATATATATATATATATATATATACACACATACATACATATATATATATATACACACATACATACATATATATATATATATTTATGGGGGGGGGGGCTCCAAGCATCTTGAAAGGCAGTACTTTTGGCTCTGCCAAAGGTAGGTGAGGTTCTGTGTCACATATGGGCGGTACTCATTTGGGAGATGAAATATGAGCTTGTTTCAGCTTGTGACATGTGGCTTCCCAGTTTCAGAAGGAATGAGAAACTATGCACTTTGGCAGTCCAGTAACAGCAACATAGAAAGCCAGGGTTGAACCACAATGGAGAGGAATCCAGTTTCTAATCCTTTCTCAGCCACAGAGTTTCCATGAGTGACTTTGGGTGAGTCACATTCTCTTAAACCCAGCCTATTTTGTAATTATGTAAAAAAAAATAATAATGGTAGGAGTGCTATTATGTCACCCTGATTTTCTAAATTAGAAGTGTGGTATGCAATTAGTACATCAGTGTAAATATGAGCCAGATGGAGTTTAATAGACTTGTGTTTTGGTATCTGTTCTGACCCGGCTCCCAAACATGACAAACCCTCTGTAATTAAATGAATGATTACTTTATTAGGAGCACCAGCAGCCCTGTCAAAAAGTCAGTCTCTCTCTCTCTCTCTCTCTCTCTCTCTCTCTCTCTCTCTCACACACACACACACACACACACACACACACACACACACACACACAGAGCAGGGTAACAAGTCCATCTGTCTGGGAGATGAATAGTTCTGCCACACCTACTCATCTCCATCCCCTGCCTTTTATCCCCAGAGTTAGGATGGGGCTTTGCTAGCAGCAGTGGCTTTTCTGTCCCAAAGACCGGCCCATAGATTTCCACTGCTCTCCTTTCCTTTGCCTTCTGTGCATCCGTGCATCAGGCACTGGACTCAGTTATTCCTCTTCTTCCTCATCAGCCACCTCCAGACCTGGGGACTGTTGACTATCCATCTAAGGGCTGATGGATGGCCCAGGCTCTGCCTCCTCTCTCTCTCTGCCAGCTCCATTCCCTCCCCCCGCCCTCAGAGTTCTCAGGTTGCCTTGATGGTGACCCTGACTCCCACACTGCCTCCTCCTCCTCCTCCTCTGATTTAGCTGCTGGAGTGGCCAGAGGCCAACAGGCCACAACACTATCACCGAAATTAATTCATTTCATGAATGAAGGCACATGTACGTGTGCCCGGATAATTCTGCAGGAACCATTCTGAGTCGGTCACCAGGAACAAAGATTTATTCTTTCAAACTTCTGGGCTCATGCTGGAGCCCGTCCTCACCTCAGGGGATTTCTTCCTCTCTCCAGCATCTAGAACTTGGAAGAATAAATCTTTGGTCCCGGTGACCAAGATCGGATCCTGCATTATTCATTCATCTTAAAAAAAAAAAAAAATTATATCTGACCTGAAGTTGGAGAGAATGTAAACTTTAGGTGTTGGCAAACAGGTGACAATGGTGCATCTCAGTGAAAATGGGAATAAAGTCATTGAGGCCACTTGGAGGTTTGTCTGTGTTCTCGGGGTCATCTGAATAATGAAAATGTTGTACCTCCAGGTGGTCTCAATGACACTGCAAAAAGGATGCAAATGACCAGCTGTCTGCAAGGAGTATAAATCCTTTGGTTCCCCTCCATCCAGTCAGAACTGAAGAAGCTTCTTGGATGAGAAGCAAAATGTCTTCAAAGAAAAACAAGAAAGTCCAGTTGCCTCTTGAAAAAACACCTTTGGGATAACAATGACCTGGATGATGGAGAATCTCTACAAACCACCAAGGGTTGCTTGAAGTTAGATAACCAAAAATCAGTTGATACCCAGAAATTCTTTTCTGATCAGCAGAGAGGATCCTGCCATCCTTCCAAGACTGACAAATTGGGATCATTACAGGGAAGAAATGGTTTAGGAACTTTAGAGTGGAGTCAGCATAACATAGTGAATCAATAATTGGGAACACTAATAATCATATTAGTTTTCATATAGGAGTGATTGTATTACACAATCGTAGGTGATACCCATGAAATGAGGATCAATGTTAAATAGTTTTATTCTTTCAAGTCAACAGTTTGCAGCCAGCATAAAATCAGCTGAGTAAGAATTCAGGACACCCTTATTTGTGAAGGGACAGGGTGTATTCTATTTTGGGGCTCTCTGGTAATATGCATTAATAAACATATTAATGTTCTTGTGTCTGGGCACAACATGTTTGCTGCTGATGACTTTTTGATGACTCCTTGCCTACAGGGCTGTCTTTGCACATTTGACTGGGAGATGATAAAAACAGAATTGGATTGGAACAGCTTGTGATTTGATTGGTTGCTTTGGGTTATATTGTGTAAAGCTTCCTGTTCTTCCAAAGTGAGTTGTGATCTCTAATTTTTATTAGCATATTCTTACCATCTTCTTTCCTCCTGGATGGAAAGGGACCGAACCAGTGGTGGGATTCAATTTGTTTTACTACCAGTTCTGTGGGAGTGGCTTGGTGGGCCTGGCAGGGGAAGGATACTGTAAAATCTCCAGTCAGAGGTGGCATTTGCTGGTTCTCTAAACTATTTCCACTACCAGTTCTCCAGAAGTGGTCAGAATGTGCTGAATAGTACCTCTGGACCGGACTGATCCATTCTCCAAAGCACCCGAGGGCAGGACAAGAAGTAACAGTTGGAAACTTAATGAAAGAGAGATCCAAGCTAGAATGAAGGAGGAATTTCCTGACAGTGTGAGAACAAACAATCAGTTGGGAATGAGTTGCCTTGGGAAGTTGTGGGTGCTCCAACACTGGAAGTTTTCCAGAAGAGATTGGACAGCCATTTCTTTGGAATAGCATAGGGTCTCCTGCTTAAGAAGGAAGTTGGACTAGAAGACCTCCAAGGTCCCTTCCAAATCTGTTATTCTGGATTCTGTGTCCTATATTCCATGATCTCTAGTCCACATGTGAAAAAAGAACATGATACATCTTTGGGAAAGCTGGTTCTTTAAGCTTTCAACACAAAATGGAGCTAAGTGTAACAGCTCTGTGGAAACACACAGATGGTTTTCCAAGATCAACACTTGTTTACACTTTGTGTAATGGGACAACTCACCATGGCCAACTTGCAAAGGCAACTTGCCATGGCCAAGTCACCAGGGCAACTCACCATGGTCAACTCACTAGGGCAACTCACCTTGACCAAGTTTCCAAGGCAACTCACCATGGCCAACTTGCCAAGGCAACTCGCCATTGCCAACTCGCCAAGGCAATTCACCATGGCCAACTTGCCAAGGTAACTCGCCATAGCCAACTCGCCAAGGCAATTCACCATGGCTGACTAGCCAAGGCAACTCACCATGGCCAACTTGCTTGGGCAACTCACCATGGCCAACTCGCCATGGGACAATTCGTTGCAGGTCAATTCAACAATTTAATTTATTTAAAATAGTTAAAAATATATTTTAATTTTTGTCATTCACATTTCTTTTGTTCCTCCTTTGGCATCCTTTCTTCAATTATTCTATTCCACTATTTATTTGATATTACTGTAACTCTTGTCTCATGGTGAGTTGTCCCTTATCAAGTTGGCCAGTTAGCCATGGTGAGTTGACCATGGTGAGTTGGCCATGGTGAGTTGCCGTAGACCCAAACCCCCACATGACTGAGAGATCTACATGAAGGTCCTATTAATAAGTTGTCTGTAGGCTTTATAAGTTACTTCCCATATACATTTACTTTTGTGACAATTTGCTCTCTTATTTGATTATATGGCTCTAGTTTTGGAGGTACAGTAGGTGTGTGCCTATAACTCTAGTTCATTCTTTGTCTTAACCCACTCTTCCCTTCCACTTTGCATGATTCCAA